TAAGACACGATTTCCAAAGCTAGAACATCCAGCCAAACAGTTTTTACCCCAATCAGGAAAAATGCAAGGGAATAGATAATTTTATCTAGCATAGACTGAGAGCTCAATAATATTCTAACAGAAACCCACCCGTCAAACTCCTCCAATTAAACGCTCAGTCGCACTAAAGCTTTTGAAAGGAGAATACGATAGCTAAGGCAGGAAAAATAAAGTATGAAGTCGGTTTGCTACCATTGCAGTTACCTTCCATAAAAAGGGGATTAAAGCATACGAGAAGTAGAAAAAGGCCCACCATTATTCTGCGCAACTATATGGATGGATAAAGGGGAGAGAGAAACAGTCTCGCTGAAAGATCGCAAGGAACAAAGGAGATGTAGAACGTACTTATTCTGCACTTGCTTGCAGTTGAATCGGTTAAACAGGCTAAATGGATGAAATAGACATCCGAGACCGTGGTGAGTGCCTCAGGGATGAAATACAAAACTGAGCGCTGTGTGTCGTAGATCCAAAGGACTAGCAAAATCGGCCAACACGTGTTCGATGGTTAGGCAGAGGTGAGCTAGTTCAGTTCTGAGCGCATGAATAATGTCCCATTTCTGGTCAAGCATTCAATAACTGTATAACCAGAGAGGTTGTTCAGCTCTCAAAACGAAAACGATAATCCAGTTTGTATGCGGAATAAAAGTGGTGCAACAAGATACCAATTGTTGAAGAACGGGAGTCGCAAAAAAACGTTCCAAACCTACAATCTCCGCGGAAATACACTCCTTTTCAATTACATAAGGAGTTTAACCAATGGCTACATGTTAGGCATTCTAGAGCATTGCGCTCCCACTCATCCCGCCTTAATTGTTACTCGTGCCTCCACCTACTCTTTACTCATCAACTTGACAATAAAGACAGTTGCCCCAAAGTCCTGATATATTGCGTATTTCACCAGGTGTACGATAGAATCTAGATGACTCCCATGCGAACAGAGGGAACCCCAGTTGTCCTGTTCTTGTGCAAATGAAATCTCGAGGCCAGAGGGGGTATTGAAAAATGAAGTCTATGCGAGTGAAACAATTCATGGCACAAAGCATGCCTAATCTCCGTCGATAATTCAAAATAGCTGAGCGGAAAAAAGACCATTAATTTGCGAACCTAATGAAATCTTAACAAACGAACGAACTTTCACCACGACACTGACACGCAGAAAATCGTCCTTGTAGACGCAGTTTGCGTCCTCATAAGTATCAACTTAATTCGACAAAAATAAATAGAATCTTTCATGCGCACCAAATCCTAGTCTCTTAAGGGTACAATTAAAGCTATCATTTTATTTTCATGCTGTTTACACCAGCTTACCTTACTATTCCAGTTGCCCTAAATAACTACCTCCATGGGAAGCCAGAGCAGACAATCGAATCAAGCGAAGGCCATTTTATGCGTTGGCTGCGCTTTTGCAACTTGATAGACATTTGTGCTGTCATGCTCAGTCCCTCGCTTACACTAAAATGCTGACTATCCAGAGAAATGGATCTCTCTACCGGGTAAATGCAGACTTCAAACACTGCCAGAGGAAAGTTTTGGCCTTGTTTATACCTCAGTTCTTACACAGACAAAATATGACCAGTTTCATAAGTCGAGAGAGGCATTAAAAGTGGGGAAGCAACCCTCCTCAGTCCAGAAGTGCTTGCATACTGCTAATTGATCTCCCTTTTGACAACGTGATCAAGAAGCTAATAGAGGTTTTTCCATGTTTCAACCTGAACGCCCAACTAGCTGAGCTTATGTTTGACGGAATCTATATCAGACTGCTTCTATAATGACCAGCGTAAAGGTGATTGAAAAAGGGAACGCCATGAGACATGTCCATTCCACTAACCGCACAGTTCCCTCATGCCTCATTTGGCATTAAGAAATAAATGGGACGCTTGATAAGGGTTTATGGAAAGTTTGAAACCCTAATGGGGCAAATGATAGCTGGACGCAAACATAAGGCAAAACAAACACTGTCGTAGGGCCGAAGGTACTGCAATCAAAAATAATATCATACAATGATGAGCTGTGCATCAGATAGCCTTTAAAAACGCCTTGGTTGAAAATAATGAATAAATAGTTGATAAATGACAGGATCAAACCGTAGATGTGGAGGTGGAGGCCGGCAGAGAAGGTGGTGGACGCCAGAGACCAAGGGTAACTTCCCCATGAGCCTCTGCGGCGCGCTCGAGAAGAGCAAGAGCCTTTGCATGACTGCCACCAAGCACTCGAGTCCCGTTCACCGACACTAATCGGTCACCGGCGCGCATTTGAGAGCTCCGCTCCGCCGCACCACCCGGGGCAAGTTGACCAATCGTAATCTAAACAGCAAAG